CGAAATATGGTAACGGCGCTTCAAAAAGGAGAAGTTTTGATCGAAGTAACCGAAAATATTGTAGGTAGGTGTTTAAGTACCGAAACCGTATAGCATAGCTTATATTTGCAGAAAATGGAACCTTTTTTTAGTTTACTTCTGTAATAAATTTGATTCCACAAAAAGCAATTCTTGAAGAAAATGTTCTGAACGGATCAGACGAAATTTATTAGTGTTCTTAGTTTTTTTGCTTATTAATGATCGTCATTTGCAGTCATTGACAGTCTTTTTGCAGAAAAAGTCTCTAATTTAAGTATCTAACTCTATGTATGTTTTGATTTAGTTTCTGTTAGTTTGTGTTATAATTAGTTTCAGTTTACAAAAAAAAACCGATAATATCTAAATACTAATAATTTGTTGTCTTATAGAAAGGACTACAAAATAAATTAAAACTTTTCAAAATAAAAATTGATTTTTAATATTGTACCAGAACTGTCATCAAAACATTTTAATCTGTTGCGAGTTTAAAAGTCCAAACGGCCCCTAGTGGCTAAAATTAAAACTACAAGTAGTAATTTGACACCTGCTTTACTGACATTGGTGTTTAATCAACTTTTGCAAGCTTTTAGAGGAATAGAAACAGATCGAAAAGCGTGTAAGTATTGTTTTATTTTATAGATGTCATCAACTCCAATAAATAAGCAAGTCTGACAAGTCTGAACTGTCACTCGACGAGTAATTTGACGTTTCGCAGCGCCACCATCGGTAGTTAAACTCGCGAATAAGTGAACCAAATTATGTTGACATATTTCAAAAGAATCTAAAGAAAAATTACAGAGCAGTATTAATTTCTGGGTTTTTATTTAAATAACTTTATGCTACGGTAAACACACATAGAGTATGTGCTTGAATACATGTGGAATCGACAATAAGATACTGAATTGTCATTTTGGGCGATTCAGGAGGAAAATGACATATTTAAAGATTATGTACGTTTAAGAAGCCAAAGTAAGCTCATATTTTCAATTGGGGATTTTTGTCTCACAAATACAATTGAATAATTATATTTTAAAAACTGACATAAAACTCTTGTAAAACCAACAAAGCAAAAAAGTTACTTAATTTAACTAGGATAACCTCCAACCTTTGATCCAAATGACATATTTTTTTCTAAAAACCAACACGCGAAGAAGATAATTAAAATACGTATTGCAATTGGATTTTAAGATTTACAAACAATGGTTCGGAGAACACTAAAGCCAAAATATTTGCAGGCTTTTCATGTGCAATAAATATAAATATCCAAGAAGACGATTTCGGCGAAGATTAAAATTTTATTAATTGACTCATGCATTTTATCTACATGCATTTTATTTGCGGGATCGCAGTTTACTGGTTATGAAATTATCAATTGTCGCAATAATGATCGATGATGGGAGTTAAATTTCTAAGAACACAACTTCAACGTCGTTTTACTATTAGCTAATGGAAGCTATATATAGCTCTAGCTATAGCTCTTTGGAATTAGATGGCCACGTTAATAGGGATAAAGTGCCCCTCTCATCTAGACTCATCTAAATGCGTCTCTTTGGCCACCGAGATCACCACTTCCCTAAACTAAAACTCTCTACCTCCTCACTCCCTTAAAAAAAACGAACAAGTATATTAGATTTTTAGATTATTGATTAAGAAAGTGGACGTTAATGCTGCAGTGTCTACTAGAAAGAATCATCGTTCGGGAGAAAATTGCTGAAGCGCGCAAACCAATATATAGAAGTGGGAGTTAATGCTTTCGAAAATCGAAAATGTATGATAAATAATCGCTATTTGTTGATCTCGTTTGGTTGGTTCTGTAATAATTTTTCTCATTGCTTTTAAATTACAGTTAGTGAAAGTATCAAAAACAAAACAAATAAAAATCGGACTTGAACATATGATTTAATTTATGTGACTCACCACATACATTCTTGTATGATTTAAATTTCTCCCTAAAGCTCCAGTTTTCGACAGAACAGTTTTAGGAATAAAAAGCAATTTAAGGTATTCATAACCATGTAGAGGTATCTCGATCGTATTTATTCGTTATATTCATACTGTATTATTTATTTCGAAATAAGATTTTCCATAGGATGAAGTTTGTAAGAGCTCGTAATTAAAAAATATTGACTATCACACATTTTTTCTAATAAAACACTGCAAACTATAGGCAGCAGAAATTTTTCAGTTTGAAAATATGCTAATTGGAGCGTTTATTGTGATCGCGGTTAATATTAACACAAATTATCCTAATCCGTATTTTAATATGGCATGTTTGCTATCTCTTGCCAAATTTAAAAATTTTATGATTAAAGATCACCGGTTTACAAGTATCATGAACATAATTAATGTTTCGATCATTTGTATAATTAAAAGTAATTGAAATTGTCACAAAAATTCAAAAGAAAAAATAAATAAAGGTTGTACCAATAGAAAAACTTAAAAAATTATAACTCACGCTGTATATTTGCAAATATTTTTCAAATATGAGCCCTTACTACCTTGTGCATTTCAAGATACGGATAAAAGCTCATTTGTGGGACCGCCTATATTATCGCCTGCTCTGCCTATCTCAAATTAGTTAAAAAACAATTTATCGCTGTCGTTATTCTAGATACTTGAATTCATCACTGGTAACTTACTATTAATACCAACTTGACCATGACCTGTTATCGCCGTAGACTTCCGGATTGATGATGCAAAAACAAAGATCAAAGGAATTTCTCATTTATACAGGGTGTTCCATTGTTGAACACTTACTAGGGATTTTTGTTACTATTTGAGGTACCTCCTACATTGGGTAAATAGAGGCAGTTTTAAAGACTTTTTTGTGAAATTCAAACCAGATCAATTGACTGAAAACTGAAGAAAAATTAGTAGGTACTTCATTTTTAAGGAGAATATTATACGTATGAAGCAAAAAATCTATTGTCATTTGCTGTTTATTTATTCAGAGCGCACATTTTTCAAAACTTTCCAACGATATGTACGTTATTTTCGACGCCCTGTTTTAGAAGCAAAAAGTGGGTTTAAAACCAAAATTCTATAGTATACAGACCTGCAGACCCTAAATCAACATATACGTCAATAAAAACCTATTTTCAATTACTGTGTAAACCTGCAAAAAGCTTCCATTTTTTGAAGGTATATAACTCGGAACCACGTGATCGATTTTTTCTTATATAGAAGAAAAAAAAGTACAAAAGCACAATTTAAAATGTCTGAGTCGCATTTATACATTTTTTTTTCAAACTGTTCACAGTAAATGATTTTACTACATTTTTAGCCCGAAATCTGCTTCATATAACATTACTCAGTAAAAAAACGTGAATATCAGATACACCCTGTATGTACGTTACGTAATGACGTATGAAGTTCAACGGAACCTCATTCCGCTTCAAATCATAGCACTAATTTACAGTCTGAACTTCAACTCAATTACTGATAACGATAATCACCCAACACAATACATGATAAGAAACAATTACTCGAGAGTGTTGTTTAATTGCATGTTTGTTAACTTTGTAAATAAAAAATGCCATTGTTTTAAGTTTATGATTATACAAACATTTGTTGGTTGCTCTAATATAAATGGTTTAAAAAGGTCGGAGCTTCTACGACCAAAACTTCCAGAAAACCGCTATAAACGAGTCTTTGAGCAGCTACGTGTTCTAATTAATGTACTCGACAAACACACACATTTTCTGCAGAGTATTTAAAATTTCTCAATTTCATTACAAATCTCAATTGCAATAACAATTTAATTTCTGATTAAAATTTTTGTCCAATTACGAAATGACTATAAATCATCATATGTTGTCATGATGTGCTGTTGCTTTTCTTGCAATATTTACCTCTTTTATATTAAATATTTATTAAATGTTATCACATTAGCTAAAAAGTCAAAAAAATGTGGCAAGTTATTATCGCTTTTTATATGCTCCAAGTCAGAAAGGAAATAACAGCAAATCATTCTTTAAAATATGCCCAAGCGATGGATTCCTTGATTCATTCCGTATAAAATAAGGAATAAAATTATTTGGTGCACAAACGACACTGTAATCAATTATTGTTCAATTAATTTTAAGTATTCGAGTAACTGCAGGCGGTACTGAAAAAATCGATTTATAAAAAGTTGGTATGGAAATCAAGGATATTGGTTTTCTACAGGGAGTAGGGGGAGAGGGGAAAAGGGAAGTATTTTAATTGCAAAATAAAGAAAAAACAAATAGTAGCACATCCTTTATATTCCCTTTCGAAGCATAAACCAACGACTTATACTTACTATCCATCCCATAAGACAAAAACCTGCAGGGATGAAATCTGGGGATCTCAGTGGCCAAGAGAGATTCTTCAGTCCAGCGATTGCCAAAATTTGTATTCGCTTTTTTAATAAAAATTTCTTTAGCAGCAACTTTAATAATAATTACACTGCCATTTCGCTTTTATTAAAATATTGTTTGTCTAATGTCATATACTAAGTATCTCAAATACCTTGACCCGCGCTTTGCATACGGTATTATTGTCTTTTTTTCTAGCAGCACTTGAACAGTTAACAGGAAAAAATATTAAACACTAATACACACTCCAGATAAATATAGTTATCAAGACTTATTAAAAATGTATGACAACACACTCACAAACGCTCTCAAAATAACTTACTAATGTTGCGCCATTTGAGACGTTTTTTTTCGCAATAGGCAAGCACAGATAAAGACTCAATACAATAAGCAGAAAATTTGATACCTTTTTAAATCCCTCACATTATATTGGTTTTAACTGGAATTCTTTCGTTATATGGTATTTTTCATATTGATTTATATAAAATCTATTGTTTGTAAGGAAATTAGATGCCAATAAAATATTGCACATAAAGTTAACGCTATTAGAAGTAACAGATTTTCATCACTTTTGTAATTTATTAGCTATTCTTATAAGGTTTAACTTGATATAACTTAATAAGTTACTGAGGAAATCTGTTTCAGATTATAGCGTTTTCGCAAAGGAATTTGTCGATAATTTACTTTCCGAAGGAACCAGAGCTGCTTGCGATGATTCTGTAGAATCTTTCAACAATGATGGATTGCCACCATTTTACGATGAGGATTTGTTTAAAAGGTCAGAGAAAATTTTAAAAGTATTGTTCTACATTTTTATTTGCAAAATCTATAGAAGTTCATATTTAACTGTTTATGTTACGTCTCGGTAAATTATTGAAAATTATCAACTAATTATATATTGACTCAAGTTTAATTTAAGATTCAATTAAATTTGAAAACGTAAAATGGTAAGTTTTTTTCCAGGGGACAAGCTTTCCATCACAAACATATTTTTGGTATGTTTTTGGGCAGTTTGTTGGGATTGCTCGCTGATTTATCCATAAAATCCGCATTAGCCATACTGTCCATGACCAAACAGTCCAGTAGTGACTTGTCTGCTTACAAACGATACATGTCAACTATTTTTCACGTTGTTGTTTGGTATGAAAGTGAATTTAAACCTGGCAGTAGGTAAGTCGTCATTTACTTATCTTATTTAATGACTAGTTATTTAAAAGACAAAGTCTGTGTAATTTTCCAATTTTTAAATGTTTTTTATTAAAAATGAGATGTCCATTTTTTTAATTTATATTATTGTTATGTTTGTATTATTACTTGAGTGTTGTACCACATTTTATCAAAAACTGCAAAAAAATAATTTTAGAACTCAAGTACTTAATAAAATTAAGTACCTGAGTTATCAAAAAAATTTCTAATAATTTTAATACGGATATTGATAATAATTCACAGATAAAAAGACGCAAAAACCGACCATATGGCCACAGCAGTCAAGCATCAGTATCTATTTATTTTTATTTTCAAAAGCTTTAAGAAACTCTCAAAAGCTTTAAAAAATACCGTCAATTCGAACTACGTTCTTTTCCTGATGGATCGTGTTCACTAAATTGTGCTAAATTATTGTTCTTGTTTTTCAAATAGTATTGCTAGTTTCCTATATGAAAGTCTTTCAAATTTGTCTTTTTGCTTCGGATGGTTCTTCACAATGTTTCTTTGTACGCACTTACAACAATTATTTCATATTTGAATATTACGTACTTAAGTACACACTTTATCAATTCCATGCTACGGATTTTAGACTATGGGAATCCGTTAAAATGGTCAAAGCGAAACACAACAGAGCTAGCAAAAAAGCTATGAAGGTTCTAAACTTCGGGATAAACCAAACAGATATGATATTAGCGCAATGGGGATTCATGGGACTGGTCGTTACTAGAAGCAAGTTTCTAGGAATTCATGACGACGATGAAGAAGGATGGAAATCTTTTATTCATGTTTGGAGGGTGTTGGGTTATGCTTTTGGAATTCAAGACCAGTAAGTAGAAAAATCAATAATTTTTAATGAATTCAACAATTGCAAAACATGTAAACTATAATTGGAATCAAGTCATTAAGCAGTATCACTCGATAAATAGCGTGCACAGATCAACCAATTAACCGATAGCCTATTTTGCGAAGAAATATATATTGCTTGCTGTCTTTGTAAAACTAATGAGCATTTGGAAATATATGTAAAATCATAAACATACAATAGAAATGATTAATGGCTTTTGCGAACGATAATGTACCGTTTTGTTTTCTATTTAGATTCAACATATGCAGAGAATCAGTAGCAGAAACCCGTGCAATTTGTGAAGAAGTCCTCAAGAGGATAATGGAACCCGAGGTAGCAGAAAAAGACTCGCGATTCATCCTCATGAGTACATATTTGTTAGATGGCTTGTGGGCCATGAACCCTTTTTTGGAACTTACCTCGTTCCTGTTTTATTTGAGAACAATGTTCAAGAACAATCTATCTTCGATTAACGAGAAAAACGAGGAGTATCGCAGATTAAGTAAGGGAGCGAAATTCAGGGTAAATTTTTTGGTTTTTTTAACAAGCCTGATGCGTTTTCGATTGGTGAGAGAGCTGATGGGGTATGTGAAACGACATTCACTATGGCTGATGAAACATTTTCCGTGTTTAGCGTATTATAAGTTTGGAAAAGAACATGCGCATGTAGATATTTTGACCAGTTATTAGCTATTACAAAATAAAGTGGTAAATTAGTCTTTAATATACAATTATTTAAAGTGCGCTTAGAACATCTATCATTTGATCAGAAGCAAGCAAGTATTGAAACTGGTAAAGTTAAAAATTTTCCAGTTTATCAGGCCCACGCGCTCGAAGTTGAATGACAATGACTCGATAGATTTCATGTTTACTAAGAGCTATATTTTAAATTTTTGTAGAATAAATTATTTGCAATTTATAAAAGTTGAAAATGTATATACCGTTACTTTACAGACTTAAATATGTTGAAACAAAAAATGTAAATAAAAATAGACCGCACACGGTAGATGCTCTAGACGTACTTAAATAACACAACATTTAATTATAATGTTATTTATTTAGGATAAGTGCAACCTACTTTACATTTAGTTACCACTAAACCAAAGAGTTCCATTTGAGCAACTGACATTCGCAAATAGTTCCGCCAATAATTATTTACTTGAATGGATAAGATTGATAAAATATAAATTCTTAGTGTCAACTTAAGGTCTATGAATCAGTAATTCAATAGGAAATTTTATAAAATTTAAAACGTGTTTTTTAATGAATTAATTACTTCGAAATCAATAAATACGATCGTTTTGCAACGAACATGATAAATAAATATTCTCTATCTATTAATCCTTATCAGCAAGGCTAGAACTCGAAACACTAAATTTATATCAAGGCTCTATAGTGAATCATAGTTGCAGATAAATTGAAGTATAACAGTGTACACGAGAACAGTTGAAGTTCTGAATTGTTCTGTATATTCTCATTCATTCTAATTAGAGCAGAAACGGCAACAATTTGAAATTATTGTATCTATTCTGTATTTAGATTTAAGACCGACTGTGCAGATTCTTTAACATTAACTGTGACTTTTGTATATACGTATTAATATAATGTTCCAACAATTTTAATAAGTTTCAAATGAAACACATGTGATGCTCGGAAAAAATTACGATTTATTTAAAATTCTTGCATTACAGCCTAAGTATGTACAGTTCTAGTAATACCATAACGGAATTCCATGCAGGGTGTCCCGTAAGCACATGATCAAAAGGATACTGCGATATTCTTTGCATCAAAAGATGACGATCTGACCTAACTTTTAATAACAAAAAAATGTCTGGCTCCTATGCAATTGATGTTCAAAGTTCTTCAAAAAAATTATCTTATTTGAAATATCGGGAGAATGGTATGATGTATTTTGGTGAAACTCGCTGTGAATTTGTTCTTAGGTAAGATTCATATTTTGATGAAACAATCGAGTTCATCCGTTTTGGACAAGTGGTGAATTTTTGTGTGAGTGTCGTGGTACAAAAACGTTTTATTTAGTGCATGAATTCAACTAATTTTTTTGTTGTTGATGTACTAATCATTTCTTCACAATTTTGTGCTCTTTCTAAAATCTTGCAGCATTCATAGTTTTTTCGAAAAAAAATATTTCTTTTTTCTCGGCACTAAACAATGTAGACATTAACTGGAAATATCGTGATACGAAGCATAAATTAATTGTCAGTCAATCTCACAAATTTGTTTCGAATGACCTTTTTTGAGCCAAACATTTTTTGTTAATAAAAGTTAGGTCAGATCGTCTTCCAAAGAATATCGCAGTACCCTTTTAATCACGTGCTTACGGCACACCCTGTATATCTAGGTTAAACAAATATATCAATTATATCTTAAGTTTGGTCTATCTGGACAAAGCTGCGTCCGATTCGCTATCACTCTCTTCGTCAACTGGCAAAGTGGCAGCCACAGTAGAACTTCCTCGGTTATTCTGTTTGCAGGGAATAATATAACGTTGCGCGACGCTTAGAGGCGGACTGAATCCTTCCGGGTAAGATGGATCTTCAAATAACACTTCATATTCGTCTAAATGACTGGTTGGAGGTTTATTGATTAGCGCTTTGTAGAAACAAGTTGTTTGAGGAAAAAGCGCCATAACTGGAAAACGAAGAATTAACTGCTCAGCAAATTTCCTTACTGAATCTTCTAAGCAATCTAAGCGAATCAAATCAGTTCATAGTTCAGTAATTAAAACAAATTGGTTGATATGTGCTTTTTGAAACTACGAATAATGCATTAATAAATAGTTGTATTGCAGTACGGGCATCGGTAAGATTTTGCCTCAGCAATTTGGAAAGATTTAATTTATTATATTTACTAATCCGAACAAATTTAGTATGTTTATTTATTTATAATTTTACATAAGTATGGCAAAAAAAAATTTTTAAGTTCAAATTTTTTGCTTCCCTATTCATCACTATAAATCAGTCTTCAGAACTTGATACGTCATTAACAGTAGTCGCCAAAATTCCATCTTTATTGTCTAATAATAATAAAAAAAAACAGTTAAAAAATACTGCGTAAATAAATATACCCGCGATACAAAGACACAATCTGATAAAAATAGGGATGTTTCTTCAAATGCGACCAATTAAATTCGACTATCAAGTACAGCGACCAATTGAGACCAAATTGTAATGCGGCAACATCATGTCCACGTTGACCGGTCACATACAAATTGCTTGAACACTTTAAGCAGTAAACTGATCATAGTCCAATTTATACGTTTCACCAAGTAACTTCGTGTGGTGTGGACGCACCATTATAATACTGGCGTTATGCCACGTCTACTCTCTACTACCCTACATAATCATGACCCGCTCAGGATGTTCCAAAATCTCATGTGCACATATTTTTCGTACTCCGGCAAAGCTCAAACATAATATAAAATTTCATCCCATGAATGACTCTAATGTTCGTTAATTGAGGGTGATTTAAAACGTAAAGCTTGAGCATTAGAACTCAAATTGGATTTAGGAACCGTTCCGAATTAGCTTCATTGCTCTCAACTCTCACTAGTAACTTGTTTAAGAGGCGATTACACATAGAAAACACTTCTTTACCGCTGCTAAAATCCTTAGAATTTATTAGTTTTTTTTTATATTATCTAGACGCATCAAAACTTGCAACAGACTTGTGTTGATATTATGTATTGGTATTAGCGCGGGAAAATTCACTTCAATTATTATATTAAAACACTCACCCAATGTTCTGTGTTGGAAAAGGGCTTCCGGATTAGTATCAGGATTAGCCCGCATCAGCGGTAACGGTATAACTCTACTTTTGCTTAGCGAATGTCTTCCTTTTTGATTTTGCTCTTTTAATATATCATCAACTTCATACTTAGCAGCGCCGACGCTGTAGCAAACTACTTCTGCCAAAATCCATATCTTCTCATCTCCCTTTCCAGGAACTAAAGCAGCAACCATCTCTCCCACCTAATAAGTAATAATTAAGCGTTTCAAAACGAGCCATAATTAATGTTTTTAAACGTACATTAACGTGAAAATGCCCTCACTTTGGAGTAAAATGTGGTTCTGAGAAACACAAAGTGAGGAAACTTTAGAAATCTAATTTTTTACTCATTATTCATTAATTATGTCTAGAAATAAACGTTTCTAAAATAAATATAGTTACTTTCGCAATATAGCTTCTCTCTGCAGGTATTGCACCACATAATGGAGGAGCCTTCTCTCCTAATTTTCCGACAAATAGTGGCAAAGTTTGAGCTGAACTTTGCAACATTTTCATCCAAGTTCCAATCCGAATTGACTCATTGTTAGCAGCAGATATTCGAGCCTAGAAAAAATATTGCTGAATTATGAATATGTGCAAAAAATTAAATGCGAGGCATTTTAAACCAACAAGATTGAAAAGTGCATCTTCAAGAATAATACTGCGACTTGTGCATTTCTATTCTAAACGGTCTAACTTTAAATTATACACTTCAGGTCGTTTCGTTGCGTAATTTTTTTATGTGAAAATGTTTGTCACATAATCCACTTACCTGAATTCTTCTCTCATTTTTTATGTGCCTAATTTCATGGATTTTTTGCAAAGCTTTCTCAATTACATCCCTTTCTGCTTCAGTCTGAGTCATTGCAGTTTTAATAAGTGACTTCGTTTTCTGAAAATAAATAACACTTTATTTAGCAGTTCTGTTAAAGATAAACAAAACATTTTTACTAATTTTCAATAGGTGAAAATGGAATCCATTGCAACCGTTTTATGAATTGCTAAAATAATTTAAGAAATTAACTGACATTTTAGAAAACACTTTCTTCTTTCTCTTATCTCTTATCTGCCAATAAGTAGCTACAAACAATTTTATATTTTCTTAATGACTTTTATTCACCCTGCTCCTCTTAAAACGTGAAATTGTGAATGTCCTTTTTTAACTCAACAATCTCTGCATCTCGGAAAGTGTGAACAGAATTCAGAGTTTAAATCGTTTCAGTTGAAGTGTATCGACTACACAATGAAAAATTTTACTCTGTTTAGATCTATTGGACAAATTGATCTCTTAGAAATAAATTTAAGTACTGTGCATTTTTTTCTGGGCTAGTGAGTTTTCTGTTCTTACACACAAAGTTGTCACTTTACACACAACACTGCACTTCCACATTTTGCTGTTTAATTTGTCATAGGTTTGTAAGCATTTAAGAGCTGTAAAGGTAATTTTAAAATGTATCCGTTATACGCCTGTTAAAACCCTGTTGTAAGTAAAACCCGTAAGTTAAACTACTAATTTCACAAATTAGGTAGTTTCGAAATAGCTAATAATTAATACGGTACCTGAATATTCTGTCCTTTATCATCATTGCTATATCTTTGCAAGGTATTTATACTTTGCTCACAAATATTCCTTTTCTTTTCAATATCCTGAACTATGGTAAATAAAGACTTTAGTCTTTCTTGTACTTGTTGTGCAGCAACTGCGTCTGCAGTGAATGGCATTTTTATTGAATACTTTGTTTATGTATTTGCCTTAAATGTCGATTCAATAGCACAGCTGACATGCAGGCCCCAATAACTATGCAGAAAATTAGCTGAAAATTAAAAAATACTTTGACAAAAACGGAGAATAAAATAAACAGAATTGCCTTAATAATTTTAGAGTAATCACTAATACAAGTTTATGAAGCAGTTTCAAAATAACACATACTTTTCTTGAAGCAATTCAAGATTCTTAACGATTTTCACCAGTTTAAACTGGCATATATACTTACAATTTTACGAAGTTTTCTTCCTTGTATTTTGAGATTAATTAGTTGAAGAAACATATCATGTGTTACATTATGAACTAAACCATAGGACTTAAAAAGTAAAAAGTAGTTTTGCTGCTGTAAAAACCGAAACTCTGTTTTGTTTTAATCATAATAAACCAGGTTAGATCCATAGATAAAGACGAGTAGGTTAGAACCATAGAACAAGGCTTATGGTTAGAACTAGCGCATATATCGCAATCGGCTCCTTGCTTAAATGACATGCGCAAGTTAGTTTGAGGTTACGTTAATCAAAACAAACTTCTATTTACTAGTTAGTTACAGACAGAGACAAGTTACTCACAACAGAGCTCACAAGTTACTTGTCTCTGGTTAGTTAGTTAAGACCATAGAATAAGTAAAATAATTGTTTAATAATAATATAATAATAATTTTACTTTCTCTATGGTTAAGATGCCCATTCTAGCAAGCGGCTAGTGTGGAGAGAATGTGATGTGATGGCATACGGATGCCGGATCTGACGCATTCTTAGACGGAACCACAAGTTTCAAAGAAGAAACTTCTGAAAACTTGCAGTTCCAAAATGGGGGTTTTTTAGTTGGTAAGAATCCAACACTATCCAGTGTCTCGGGATGCTGGGTGT